ATATTGTTAAATTGTACAATATGGTACAAACATGACACATGCACATTGTGAGAACATGATTGTATTTTATTGGATATTGTTTAGAACAACAAAATTATCAGGTTACTATCGCTCTAATTTAAATTTTCATGGGTGGCAGCTCTGCTTCCGTACAGGAAGACTAAGGCCTAGTCCACACGTAGCCGGGGTTTTTTAAAAACGAATATCCGCCCCTCCAAAAACTTGCATCCACACCACCTCGTTTTAAAAAAAACTGTCCACACGTACCCGGACAAATACGTTGTTAAGGACATGCCAGACCTGTAGGCGGCAGTACTTCCCCCGTTCTTAACCTCGTCCTTCGTCTGTGGTCTTCCGCAAGGAGCAGTAATTCCGCTTGCAAGAACAAACAAGCAGAAAGCGCTTGGACAATTGATAAAGCGAGCGCAGCTCTGAGGGCATCCATGCTGTTGGCTAGTGTAAACACAGGTCGCACACGTGATGTCAGCATTTTTTTGTCGTGGAAAGTGACGTTGCGGACCTTAAAACTCCGGTTTTGTCTGTCCACACACAGACACCCAAAACGGCGAAAACGCAGATCTTCACTTTGGCCGGAGTTTTTAAAAAGATCCGTTTTCGTGTGAAAAAACTCAGTTTTCATGTGGATGACAGGCCAAAACGTAGAAAAACATCTACGTTTTGGCAGATCCCCGGCTATGTGTGGACAGAGCCTAATAATATCCAGCTTGGAATTTTCAAATGAATCAAGATTTTCTAAATGAACTGTTAGCATTGATATGTTTGGCCAGTCTGCCGTGTTTGATGGTTCATCTGATGGTGCAGCTTAAATTAGAAACTTTTATAACGCAAACTAATGCTTATGAAATGCACCAACAAGGTGGACTTGAAGATATCAGAACGAGAAGTGAGCTCACAAAGTTTGTCTCATGCAGGAAATGCAGTATAGGCAAAGGTGGACGGCATGTTGGGAGTAGTTTTAGATTCTTTTGTGAGGCTTTTTACCTTTTTTAAAGCCACCTTTATGACTCTGTTCCTATAAATGCTCACAAATACATTTAGAAAAACAACCAAAATAAACTTTCTATGTCAGGTGAGCTCATTTGTCTAGACTCTAATTTTGATGTCTAGATGCTGAGCCACTTCACCTACTGATAACTGTTTTTTTCTAAGCCGTTGCGAGTCGTTCAACTTGCTCTAAGGTCCACACAGGGCAAGAAACTCAAACGAAAAATGCCTAATGCTGAACGCCAGCCTCGCCGAGGCCTTAAATCTGCCTCTCCTGCAACTCCTGCAGCCGCCGAGCCGAGCCGAGCCGAGCTTGCAGCTTCTTTGAGGTCAGTGTCACAAAATGTGAAAACTGTCATCCATTCATTACACTTTAGCGCCACGGAGGAGCTCATTACCAGAGTAATCAAGAACCTCATAGAGAACTGTCACTGCCTCCCACGACATGACAGATCAGCACTGTAAAATGTAATATTGTCCATAAAATATCCCTTTTATGAAAGGTCTTCTCGTCTGAAAGAAATGCGGGTCTGGTCGACTGATCGTCGGCGGTGTAATTTCATTAGAAGAGATATTTAACAGGTGAAGTGGTAAAATTATAGATGATCATCCAGCCAAAGGGGTGTAACTTGTGAGGTTTGCATTATTTAATTATTTTGAGGAAATTTGCATATTCTGTAGTGGTACTGTCTAATCTCAGGCTGCCAGTTTTGTTTATGATGGGAGTTAGTTGGCCCAGTAGGGACAGCGTGTTCCTTCGCCACATCTATTGTCTTTCACACAACATCTGGTACAAGGAAGTTGATGCACTCCCCCATTCTGCTGCTCAAAGCTCAGTCGCTGGAAACACCAAGCGGCTACAGCAGACGGACGTCAGCAGAAGCTACATTTGCTCAAATGGAAAAGAAACAAAAACAGAGATGAACCAAACCCCAGCGGTGTCTTTTAGCAAGCTCTGTGGTGGAAAAACGCATTCGATCTTTTAAAATCCTCTTTACTATTGCAGAGATTTTGAAGATATTCAAAAAATTTACTCAACAAATATCTGACCAAACGAGTCACGGAGGTGTTGCAGATGTCTGGAACTCTTCTCAGTCTAGTCAGAGAAGAGAGAGAGACAGCTGCAGGAAGAGTTGGTGACCAGATTTCTATTTACCTGATCGGTCACATGAAGAAAATACCGATAGTTGCTGTTCCATAATCGGAAGGTTGCAGGTTCGAGCCCCGCTCAGTCTGTCGCTGTTGTTGTGTCCTTGGGCAAGACACTTAACCCACGTTGCCTGCTGGTGGTGGTCGGAGGGACTGGTGGCGCCAGTGCTCGGCAGCCTCGCCTCTGTCAGTGCGCCCCAGGGCAGCTGTGGCTACATCGTAGCTCATCTCCATCAGTGTGTGAATGTGTGTGTGAATGGGTGAATGACTGATTGTGTTGTAAAGCGCCTTGGGGGGTTCCAGGACTCTAGAAGGCGCTATATCAAATACAGGTCATTTTTACCATAAAAGCAGTGAAGAGTCTCTACAGAAGCCTGGAAGTCCAAGCAGGGGGTTGGAGCGCATAATAAAAATTGTTTTCAGAAGTTTTGAATTGTGACTTCATTGTTCTTCATGTTTTGTCTTTATTCTGTTATCTTTAGTAGCTCTGACATGAATTAGTTTAACCTTCAGCGGGGCGGAAGCGCACCTAATCCAGGAGATGGGAAAATGAGAGTATGCTTGAGAATAGGAATGTAACAAAAAATGATATTATTTTTTTTTCTGTTTATTGCATTGTTTGTTTTTTGTAAGTTTAAAAATCAATTATGCATTTAATTGTTTGCAAATGAAAATTTGCATATATTGTTTGGACTCTGTGCTTGCAACAGCCCAGTGGGATTCTGGGTTTCAACTTCTGTTTATTCCCTACAGATGAGAACCGGATGCCAGTGATGCACAGTGTCCATACTTACGAGGAGGGTTCATGTTCAACATCCATCACAGTTTCACTTCCTTCTTTTCATGTCTTAAAGCCCTTACATGCACTTGGATGAGAGCAAGAAGAGCAAGAAGAGCAAGAAGAGCTCATAAAACTTGGGTGAAAAGTCGGAGATATTTTGGATGTTTTGGATGAATAGCGCTAGCATTTTTTTTCTGGTGGCGGAATAAGTTAATTGGATTATTTTATTTTGCTATTTCTGTTGGATCAACGCCGGTTGCCGGGCCTTGTTGCCGGGTTGAGCCTGGGCTGTGGCGCTGGCCATCGGGCCTTGTTGTCAGGCTGAGACGGGCGGCGGCTTCGGGAACTGGGCCTTGCTGTGGGGATGAGCTCAGGCCGTAATACTAACCATCGGGCTGAGCATAGGATCCATCACGGGTCACCAGGCAGGTAGCGGCACGCTACCTATGCAGGAAAAGGCCAGCCTTTAACAGAACTTATTCAGCCAGTTGGACTACTCTGTAAGTCTGTTTTTTATATGGTGCATTGCTAGGAACAGCCACTTGAAGTGACTAAAAGATTGAAATAATGCCACCAAAGAAGAATGAAAAAATGGAGGAAATTGAAAGAGCACTTGAATTCCTGACTGTGGAGGCAACAACTGTTTCCAAACAACAAAAACCGATTATGGATTTAATGAATGAAGTAAAGGATTTGAAAAAGAAGAATGAAGAGAATGAGAAAAGAATTGCTAGTTTGGAGGGTCGAGTTTCAGACGTAGAGCGATATACTGTACATGAATGCATGTTATCGTTAGTGGTTTGGAGATAAGACCAAGGTCCTGTGCCAGAGCAGTGGAACCAAGAGACATTTGTATAGAAAGAGTGTATGATAATACATTTCTGGGTGTAATCCTTGATCACAAATTATGTTGGAAACCTCACATAAACTATTTAAAGGAAAGGTTGCACGGAGTATTGGGGTGTTGGGAAAAGCAAGACATTTTGTGAATCAAAAGGCGTTGTATATACTGTACTGCACACTGATAGCACCATACCTAACTTACTGTGTTGAAGTGTGGAGACACACCTACGAATGATAAATGACCCATACTTGTATAGCGCCTCTCAGAGTAAGGACTCCAAAGCGCTTTACACTAAAGTGTATCATTCATCCATTCACACACACATTCACACACTGGTGGGGATGAGCTACGATGTAGCCACAGCTGCCCTGGGGTGCACTGACAGAGGCGAGGCTGCCGAGCACAGGCGCCACCGGTCCCTCCGACCACCACCAGCAGGCAAGGTGGGTTAAGTGTCTTGCCCAAGGACACAACAGCAGAATTCTCTGTCCGGAGCCGGGATCGAACCTGCAACCTTCCGATTACTGGACAACCCCCGATAAAACTACCCTATATGCACTTAGTCCATTACAAAACGAGCCATAAGGTTGGTCAGTCATGTTGGGTATAATGAACACACAAATAGCTTGTTTATAAAATTACAAACATTAAAGTTAAAAGACTTGATAGAATTTAGGACTGCATGATTTATGTACAAAGTAAATAAAAAATACTGCCTGAAAATATTCAAAAACTGTTTGCAGAAAGACGAGGTGGAAATAAGCTGAGAAGGGAATTAAATCTGAAGCAGCATTAAGCTCAAAGAAAACAGAAAAGTATGTGTATTTCAATGAGTGGAGTTATTTTATGGAATAGTCTTGAGGAAAGAATCAAAGAAAGTTTAAACATAGAGCAATTTAAGATGTAGACAAGAGGATCACTAATTAGTAAATGTACGGTAGTGATAATATATATTAACGTTATTGTAACTGATGTTGATACTTTTGAGTTGTTGTATTGTGATGTTGTGTTCAGAAGTTGTTGAGTTCTGATATTTTATGAGTAAACTGATTTAGGGGTAGGTGAAATAAGCTATGCTTCTTCTTATTCCTTTTCGAACAATTATGGTTGTGATAAGTTATCTAAGTTGGAAATTACTACATGTATTGTTTTATTTGTTTGAAATAAAAAAATAAAAACATCTACACACACTTGAGAGTGATTCGGAGGCTCGGTTCTTACCGTATTCTCTGTGAAATTGTAATCCAGGGAGTACTGTAATTTGCCCAGTTTCTGGTCCTCCTTTGGCTCCGCCTCTTTCTGCGTTTCAGTCAGCCCTGTTTCCGCATCCTCCTCATCCTTCAAGGCCTGAAGGAGACACCCACCAAGAGTCAGTGTCGCCTGTTTGTAGAGGGCGCCAGCACCCAGCCGGCAGCTCCCCCGCCCAGGTCCTGCCTGCGAAACCTACCCCTGTAAAAGCTCCCACGTGTTTCACATGGTAAACGGGGTGGGGGTCAAACGGGGAGGTGGGGAAAGCAAGCACTAAAACACCATAGCAGTTTACATCTGGGCATGCTCTGTGATGCACTAAAACCCCAGGCCTGGTCCCCGTTGGTGCTTTTCTATCAACCTCTGAGTTTCAGTCCGAAGGGAGGAAAGATCAAATGATGGCACCAGAAATGAGAGCAATGAGCAGGCATTGGAGGAAAAACAGGAGGATAGAGAGAGGACCGGAGGAGGGAGAGAGAGAGAGATGCTTCTGGATAATAGAACAGTGAGACTCTTCATGTCATTTTAGGCTGATAAGGTTTTTTTCTGACAACTAGGAAATGTATAAAGTGGCAGAATGTGAGAGGTGAAGCTGGCCTTTCTTTAGGTGAGGGTAGCAGGTGGTGGCTCTGGTGGAAGGGGGGGGAGAGAGAGGTGACAAGGGGGTTTCTTATAAGAACAACATGCGACCGAAGAGGCAAAAACTAGTTTTCATACATTCAGCATCTAAAGCTGGCTTCCCGTTACGTCTGTGCTGTTTGGCATGCAGAGCATTCTCTGTCATACAAAACAGTGCTCTTGTGTGTGAGTCCTCATTCCCAAGTCTGGCTACATCCTCAGACATTCAGTCATCAGAGCCCCAAAAGCCTTACACCCTACGCTGATGGAGCTAGAAGCATCATGCCAGCGGTGGGCGGATAGGTGTTGGTATAAGAAGGGTTGTAGTGTACACCGTGGTCTGCTTCTATCAGTTAGTTAAGTTGCTCGTGTGAAAGCAAAAGGCTGAACAACACTGATTGGACGTGGAAGTCGCCGCTGAGCCGCTTGGTCTCCGCCTTTTGTGGGAGAACACGTTCAGATTGAGCGATTTGATGCAACACGGACAGATAGAATAACGCAGCAGGTAAAATGATTGAGGAAATAAAGATTTTTGTTTAAATCAACATCTTTCCAGGAAAAACGGATGCAAATGTATATAAATGTTCACTTTTAGAGCCTCTCAATCATTCTACTTGTGCTCGTTGGAAATGAGAGAATCAAAAAGGCAGCGGAGCTCAGGTGGGCGCAGGAATCAGTGTGGTTGAACCTCGTCCAGGCGCACCATGTGTCTCTTTCATACATGTATATGTGCATATGCAGGCTGTACGCACATCTATACAGCAGATATACATGTACAGTATATGCATAGTTACATATGTTTGGTTCTATGGGAGTAGTAGTTGTTGTCAAGAGGCCATTGAAAAAAAACAAAAACGTCAGAGCAGCAGGCTTAAGAAGATCCAACAGCAATTGGGAACCTACCGCCAGTGACCATCCCGAACAGTCATCAGACACAACACAGATAAGGAGGACATAGAAGGAAGAAACACAAATTAAAACAACCACACGCAGGAGTTAACACACTAAAGTCTGGGCACACCAGGAGAAATGACTGCAGATCGGTCAGTAAAACACACCAGTTACCCTTTTAATGGTGGTAAATGGCTTTTAAAATATAGATCAGGGTTCTTAAAAGAGGCTGAGGGATGAGCTGCACTGCAGCCACTGTTTTATGCAAAACCGAGTCAAAATTACAGCAAATGAAACGAGTTACGAAAACACGTTCACTGGTTTGTCTCTGTGGTTCTGATCCACCTCTGGTAGCGGTGTTACAGCAGCGAAGGCGGTGCTGGAAGGACGCTCTCTACTGGTTGTAATTAGTGAGCCGACTTCAGGCCAAGTGTGAGTTTAACACGGCTCTCCTGCTTCCGCACGATTAAAAAAGTTGAGTTTGGTCATGTCATTTCTCTGGGTGGATCCCACTTCATTACACAGTTACTCACACTCTTCAACATATGAGCAGGTCCACATATGACAAAAAGAAACAGCCACGAGAAGCATAAGCGAGAGAAAACACACTCAAGTCCTCCAACTTATGTTTAAAGCCATTTTCTATTTAGAAACGTCATGTTTTTCTAATAAATAAAGCTGCAAAACTTGAAAAGACGTAAAAAAAGATACAGTACAGCGGCAGCTGTTGTAGCAGGTGTATTTTTACAGGGTATCTGCAGGTTTAAGGGAGCAAAATTTAAGACTTTTTAAGACCTTTTTTAAGGCCACTTTGACAAAATGTAAGCAATTTTTTTTATTTTAATTTAAGCTATAATTGCCAGCTATTGCCTGGAACCGGTGCTAACCACGTGGCAAACGTGGGATAAGCCATCAAATTACCATTAAACTTGCACTTCCCCATGGTGCAAGCTCCCACTAGCTTAACCAGCTAATGTGCTCATCTAAGAATAGCCCCCTTTCACAACCAGCTAAATGTGTACGGTTCCGCTTACGCCAACATCGTACACAAAAAATGCTGAACACTAACTAGAAATTCACGAAAATTTTGAAGAAATAAAAGATTTTGTTTATTGGGTCTTTGGTCATTTAAGACCTTTGGAAACTCTATTTAAGGATTATTTGTTATTTTTAAGGATTTTCAAGGCCTTATATTTGGAAAAGCAAATTTAAGACTTTTTAAGACTTTTTAAAGACCCGCAGATACCCTGTTTTAGTAAAATTATCTTAAAACTCCTTATGAGCTGATGTAGAAGTAAGAGAAGTAATTAGATCTGTCAAACGTGCAGAAGAAGTCACAAAGTCTAAGATCGGAAAAGAAAAGCAAAAGAAGCCAAGCAAAACAAAAAGCAAACACTAATGTTTAAGACGTGTGAAGAAATAACCAGTTTAATAAAAGCAGATCGATGATTAATAAACAAACAGTAGAAAAAAACGGGAGTTTAAAGCCTTTACCTCAGTTTTGGTTCCGTCCATCACGTCCTTCATGTTGATGGCATTTTTGCCCTTATCTTTGCCCTTCTTTTTGTTTTTCTTTTTGAAAATCCACTTTTTGCAGATGCAGAAGCAGCAAGCTAACACCAGGATGATGGCCACGAAGGCAATCGAGACGATGGCCCATGATGGCACTGCAGGGAAAGAAAAAAAGGGACGGAACAGAGTCAGGAAAACGGGTCCAAACCTGCCTAAAAAGCAGAGATTCAACCCACCGAGAGGTGAGAAATAAAAGCATGAAGGACTGAGCATCTATTCTGGAAGTGACAGACTCCAAGAGGCTGAACACCTACAGCCAATCATTTGGTGGAAGAAACAAATATTGGCAAGTTCCACAAGCAATTTAACCAGAAGATTCTCGATGGTGGATGGCCAGAAGCAGAATCATCACCAGGAGAGGACGATGAGCCCGATCCTCCAGTAATGCAGTAACACCAGTTATTTTTTTCTAAAACTATTTCTGCACGACGCTGAGGCAAATTTCAGCAATAATTAAATAAAATTGTGTTTTAAAGAATAATAATACCTTTATTTGTCCCTCAGTGGGGAAACTGCATGATTGCAACAGCTCAAGGACAGAGGATAGCAGCAGTAGTACACAAAAAAATACCACACAAGAGTATAATTGTAAAGTAAGATAAATGAAAAAAGCCCAATGCTGAGGAAAATATGGTTTAAAGGAGAATGTTTAAAGTAAGTACAGACTTTTTGTGATAATTTAGTCAAATTCAAAAATGTGGAACCAAAGCATGTGAATGAATTTATTTGAGATGTTGAGACAATACGCTGTTCCTGAAACTCATGACTTAGTAAATTATTTTTGTAAAATATTTTAGTTTTCAAACTTACTGAAAAGCGACTGCATCTTAAACAACTGTAACTGATTTGTTGTAATTATATTGTTGCAATAACACATGAAAACGCATGTTAGTCTAGAATATTCACGGCCACAAGATGAATGAATTTAAGATTTCGGATATTTAATAATTAGAAACGAATAAAGCTGATTTAAGAATGATTTTGAGTAGGCAGTCTCCCAGCATAAAGGCTGTAGGTTCAAATCCCGACTTGGACCTTTCTGTGTGGGTTAAAGGCTGATTTATACTTCCATGTTGTACGTGAGTACGAAGACACGCAACGCCGCCATGCGTCGGTGCAAGGGCCCTCCGACGGGCTCACAGAGGGTGGCGGAGACACGCCCAAATTTTTAACTATTCGTCTAAAATGACCAAGACCCCAAGCTTGTGATTGGTCAGGATACCGCGTCCTTTAAATTTGTCAACAGCACCGCCATAGGGAGCTTAAGTCTCCTGCTCTTCCGGTTGGCTCATGGGTCCCCAGAAGAACGAATAAGCGAATGCAAGTCAACGGGGCCATTTTCTAATCCGCTTTTCCTTTAGAACCTGGACCGCACATATGTTGTACTTAAATTTTAATTAAAACTAATGATGGGTGTTTCAACGACGCCAGTTCGTTATCAGCATGATTACAAATCAGGCATTGGGTGTTTCTCAATGCCGAGGAACCTTGCCTTGATGTCATGGCCCTGCCCCGGTTGCCTAGGAGATACGTCATCAAGAGCCCGTCAAGACGTATTCCAATGTTCGTGTTCTACCGAGGTGTGTGTTCTCTGTTTGTTAGCCGTTTAGCTCGCTGAGCGAGGATACACGGGAGGTGTCTTGTAGCCTAGCCTTGGTCAAAAATGACCAAGAATACACCGCGATATTTTTAAAAGGACGGCAGATCAGAAGCCGGCAGCTACTTCAGGGACAAATTTCAAGTTTAAATGTGAGTCAGCTAATTTAAAATGTTTTTTTTTTTAAATCCAAAGAAGCTAGCTATGGTTGGTTAGTTGCTTAGTAGTTGCAGTTTCGGTGGCTAGCGGGTAGTAACTCACTTTTATATTTAATTTAATAAACATATACACAATTTTAAAAGTAAAAGGCTTGTTATATATTGATATTTAAACTAATACATATAAAACATAACGTTATCTCCCGTGTCACGTGACGTTACGTGACCGCCGTGGAAGCCATGGTCACGTGATGCAAGTCTGTTCCATTTAACCGTTTTCTTTGACCAAGGAAGGACAGTGTCCTCGTAAGCAAGGCGCCTGGCCTCGCAAGCCATCACCTCGCAAGGCCAGGCGCCTTGACATTTAGAAACACCCATTGGCACGTCGCATATTTGACATACATGACAACACCACATAATTTCCTCTCCCCTAGCGTAGGTGCTACTTACCACATGGTCAGATTTATGGTCGCTCTTTCCTCCTGTGGGAAGTTTGCTGAACTTACATCCATTTTCCCTCCGTTTTTCTCCGTGTCTGGTTCGATGACGTTACTTTCGTGACGCACATTTGTAATCCTGAACTTATTTTCACAAGAATCCTAAAATATCTTTTCCCCCCGTTCAAAAATAAGTGCTTTCTTGGTATGAAAAAGCTTCTTTAAAATTCACAGACATCATATGTGAAGTCCATGCCACAAAACCAGCGGGATTAGAAAATTGCGTTTTTAGCCCCACTGACTTGCATTCATTTTTTCGTTCTTCCGGGAACCCGTGGTCCGGAAGTACATGGGCGTGACTTAGGCTCCAGTCCCTATTGCCCCATCACGGAACAGATTGAAGAATGCGTCGTGGAAAAAGTCTGAAAATATGAAAATGTAATCACCCGTGACTGAAGGAGGACGATATGCAGCAAGTGTTTATTTCATGAGTGGAAATGATGAGCTGTGTGTTTAGAGGTGGCCACCAAATGACGAGGTGGACGAGAATGAGGGATCGTTTGTGTTATTAAGTTTCTGAAATGTATAAACACAATAGTAAACACACTATTGTTGACCGGATACATGAGTGTAATGTTGGGGGGATACCACAGAAAAGTGCTACGCCCTCTGTGTTCCTGACAGGGAATTACCACGCGACACTCCCCAGATGACGGAGAACGTCTCCGTCAGTGCGGGAGCAACTCTCCCTTGTAGAGTATAAATCAGACTTTAGCGTGTTCTCCAGGTGAGCGTTTTCTCGGTCTCCTCTCCCCACGCAAACCAAAAACATGCTTGTTAGGTAACTCGTACATCGCTACGGGTAAAAGCGTCTGACAATGAACTAACCTGAATTTGATTCTGAAAGATAAACCGAACAATTTGTGTTTGAAAAGCTTCACAAAATATATTTGAGTGATGTTTTCATTAATTTTAAAATAATTGCAATGAAAGTATAAAAATATATTAGAAATTCTGTAAATTTTCGGCTCTGCCAAGAACCAAACCCATGAATCCTCGACTGTGTTTGCCTGCAGACGGGGCCGGGGCTGTTGTTTTTCCTCTCCACCGTATGTTGCTTGGCCTGCTCTTCGGACGCGAGTGGAACAATTAGGACAAGCGGCAGTCAGCCGTGTCACACACAAACTGTCAGACACACAACTCAACAACACAGACCGCCAGCTGCAAACACGGTGACACCTATCCTAACTGTGTTCAGCCATCAGCCTGAGTTTCCTGCTTCCTGTTGACATACAGGGATGCAGCGTGCTGCAAACATAAACACGCTGATGGAAGGAGACGGAGATGGGGGAGTGCTTTAAGTACCAAGAGGAACAGAATATCCAGAGTCCAGATGGGCTGGAAATAATGAGAGACCTCACGAGAGACTTCTCTCTTCAGCAGTCACAGTCGCTGCTCCTTTATTCCACTCAGCGCACATCAAACACCTGGCAGCCCGCCCCTCATTATAATGGAGAGGAACAATGAGACACTCTTAAAACTCCTTTTTCAAAAACCTCTGGGTGAGAAAGGATTAAAACAACGAGTAATAATTTCCAATTCATTTCAAACTGGGACGCATACGCACGTTTAAAAAGAGCAGAAGCCACCGGGGCAACAGAAGACCGGAAAGGTTTGGTGAAGATGGAAACAACGCATCTAATTAGATGAATTGGCAACACATCATTAACATGGTTGGCTTTTAGAAAGCCATCCCAAAAAGGCCGAATCTAAATTCAAAAGGAGGATCCCCCTTCTGTGAAAGACTGGAAAATACATTCAAAATGGAAAGATTCAGAGATTATGAGAAAGTCTGTGTAAACAAGGTAGATTTGTTTCTTTAGAGAGGAATAAATCCTACAAGACACAGACAAAAACACCTTTCAGAAATTAATCCAACAAGACTCATAAATCCAACAAGTCAAATGAAAACATTGGCCGGGTTAAACTCCAGTTCTCTGAAGGCTTTATCGGGGAAAACTCCAGAAATACCCATCACAACGGAAAAGTAAAAAAATGTACGCAACAGCCTCTCGCTCTGGGGCTTTGCTCACCAGCATTCAGCCGTGGTTCCTCTGCAGAGGTGGGAGAGAAAGAGGAGACGAATCGATTCTCTGTTGACAAAATCAATAAGCACTCTCCTCCAAGGAAAAACAGTGAGTGATGCTCTAAAACAACTCTGGGATCTACAGCTCTGGCCTTGCCTTGGAGCGCTGCGGTAATGGAGGTGACACTGGATAGGCCTCGTTTACAACAGTCTAAAAGCTGGGACCATTTCCTTTACAATCCTTTCACTTCACACTGAATGAACTCCAACTCCTGCAGACGTTTCTATGCAAATTCTTCAGTATTTAAGGGAAAACTGACGTTCCCATCATCATTTCCTATTCATCCAATGAGTTAAAATGCTGTTAATCAGCTCAAGTTGCATCTTTCCCAAACAACTCTCCTTAAAAAACTGCATCTCAATAGAGCAGGGGTGGGCAATCCTGGTCCTCACACACCGCTGTCCATCATGTTTTAGTTGTTTTCCTGCTCCAACACACCTGATTCCTGGTTGAATCACCTATTCAAACTCTGCAGAAGCTTGTTTATCACCAACAGATTCAAACCAGGTGTGTTTAAGCAGAGAAACAACTAAAACATGCAGGATAGCAGCCCTCGAGGACCAGGAATGCCCACCCCTGCAATAGTGCTTTTATCATTAAGTAAATAAATTCTTAAGTGATACAAGTATCTTTGGTATTGCCATACATCGTATTATCATTTCCTTTCTTTTACAAAATGGTAGGATCCCAGTTTGTCGTTGGGAGTGAGTGGCTGCATGGTCACCAGAATCAAATCCCACCACTAGTTGTAACGAT